TTTTTTTTTCTTTTTTTCTTTTTTTTTTTCTTTTTCTTTTCGCTTTTCGGCTTTTCATTTCGTTCGAACGGAGAACAAGTACAATTACAAATGGACCATCAGTTCCAGAAGGATCGCTCGATCGACACGCAATCGCGACTTCGATCTTTCGCTTGAGATCATTATCGTAAACGTGCTACCAGCCGTTCTCTTAGAATTAATTGTATTCGCTCGCCAGCCACGCTGACGAGTATCGCCAGCAACCTATACTCACACTGTAAGACTGCTTCGTCCCTTCCCTTTCTTTCTTTTTCTTTTCTTTTTTTTTCCTTTCTTCTCTTTGCTCACGTGCCTTATTGCACAGTAGAACTTAATTTATCGGGACGTAGGTTCAATCAGCGATGAATATCGTCAAACTTCACGTTATTTGAACTTCACGTGATCGTGAAGAATTCTACTACTTTGAACAAGAAATCGCGGGACAGCGCGGGTAATTTCTATTATTATTATTATTTTTTTTTTTACTTTTTATCGTTTGAGTTGTATTGAGATACACGTCAACAGTTTGTTGTCTCTCGAAAGGTTCGGATAAATGGAGTTCTACTGTATAATAGCTCGTTCCTGCCTCTGTACCCGCCGTTGTCACGTGTCTCGCTAATTAGAAGCTGACAACTCGGTCCCTTTGTTCGTGAAATTCCTTAAAACCCTAGAAAAAGGTGCTCGTGAAAGAAAGAAGAAGAAGAAGAAAAAAAAAATAGAGACAAGGAGATAGCCCCCGAGGTATCCGAGCACCTCGTCGTGATACAAAATTGATACACGCGCCACGTTCGTCGAACGTTTTCACGCAGTTCTTCATCCTTCGGTCGAGTAAATCTGCAAGAGACTGTGTCTCGCGTCCAGTCCGGATACGCCGAAGAAGCAAAGAAAGGATCAACGTGACAACGGCGCGCTCGAGGACCGTTTTCGAAAGAAAAGCGGTACAGTGTTCGCGCTGAATCTCGCCAAGAAAATTACGTACGACGCACGTTGTACGGGACGATAGAAAAGACGACGGATTTCGAGAAATCGTTGTTTCCCGCGTTTGACAATTGCGCGACTGGGACAACATATGCATATGTTAGGAATAGACGACCTGACGGGGGCTGACTGACGATGGTGAACGATGACGCGGGTGAACAACGTGCCTCCATGGTACTTGGAATAACTCCGTAAATCGGCGACTTCCGATCCGAGTGACAATCGTGACGATCACGCGTGACCCAGAATCTCGGACCGGCTCACTATGAAGCCCGTTCCGGGCAGTCAGCCACGGAATACCCGAATATATCAAATCTCCATGCGGTGCTTGCTAATTTAAACGCCGGTGTGATTGAATATGTAGGAAACGTTGCTCTCCTGGTGCACCGGCGGCCCGTGGAACGTTCGTCTGGTCGATGAGTTGTTGTTGTTGTTGTTGACGTAGTACGACGACTTCCTCATGCTGGTCGACGAGGACATCATGGCCACGGTCTCGTAGTACCTGATCTTGCCGCAGCAGCGTCCGCTCTTGAGGATCGCGACGAAGCCGCGGCGGTATTTCTTGTTGAAGAAAGCGTACAGGATCGGGTTGATGCAGGAGTTACTGGCGCCGAGCCATTGAGCGATCGGCGTTGCGATAGGCAGGATCTCGTCCTCCCTATCGGCAACGTCTCCGCCGAGCTTGATCACCGTGAAGATCACGTAGAGGGGCAGCCATGACAACACGAACAGGATCACAACGACGACCAGCATCTTCACCACCTTCACCTTCGACTTCTGCTGTATCCTCTCCATCTGTGCGTCCTTCGTGTCGGACGGGATGTGCCGCCGCCATACTTTGATCCAGATCAGAATGTAGCAGAGAGAGATGAGTATCGTGGGCAGGACGTAGCACAACGTTAGATTGCCGATCAGGAAGAAGAGAGTGCCGTCCTCCGGGTGCGGCCACACCTCCAGGCAGAGCCTCAGGTTCGGATCGTCGTCGTAAATCGCCACCAGATCGAAGAAAAGCAGCCACGGCGATGTGGTCGTCAGGGCGATGAACCAGATCACCACGATCATCATGCGAGCTCGCCTCTTCGTTATTTGACACTTCAGGGGCCACCAGATAGCCAGAAACCTGTGGGTCCACCAATCAATGTTAGCTATTGTTTCGCAATATCCTTCTTTCTTTTTTTTTTGTAAATTTTCATTCGAATTAATTTCAATTTTCTCATAAAAGAATGACGTGTCCCATGTAAAACAAACAACAACCACGAAAGTAAACGATTCCTCTTAAATAATCCCGAGGTAAACTTTAATTTATTCGATGTTACGTTTCAATTTATCGTGTCGATCGCGATGTACCAGTGAAAACTTCTACGATGCATCTTGTCGAGCGAGCTTTCGAAATCTTTCTTTTTTTTTCTTTTTGCGTACTGAAACCACTGCACGCTCTTCCAATCAATTGTTTCTTCGTTTCCATAGAACCAGATCTCAAACACGTGTTGACAAGCGAGTTTTTTTTTTTTTTTTTTTTTTTTTTATTTAACCAACGAGACTGCATACTACGAAGAAAGCGTTAAAATTTCCTTCCTCGGACACGAGCGAGTGTTTACCATTGTTTATCAATCGCGAAGTGATCGTGATTTTACGACACAAGGTTACGTTTACATGTGATTGTGCGGCATGCAAACGTAACCGTTCGTTCTTTTTTTGTGCCTCCATCATGGAGAACTATATTCTGCTGCCAGTTTCGAAAGATACTCGATTCCGTCACGCTTGGACGGGCGCGGCTGCTGCGTAAGAATATATAGCAAAGCGTTTTTTTATGCGAAGCAATGGCAATTCAACATTCCCGTACCGCGGTCTGCGAAACGAGTCTTGCCTAGATAAGGTGTCGTTCGCTAAGAATTTATTAAGCAACCTCGTTCGACGTCTTTAAATCCGACAGAGAATTTCACCCCTAGCTTCGTCCGTTCTTTCATGGTTTGTTTGTTGCAATCTTCCGATTGTATCTGCCATGCAATCCGTCATTTTCAGGAATTCTGTACTGAATTTCACTTTTTTTTTTTATTATTATTATTAAAGTAGGAAACTGTTGTATCGTATGATATTTGGGAACTTTCATTGTATCTGAATTAACAAGTTGACACGACTGTTTGATTAAAGGAATTTTCGAATAGTAAAACGTACATTCCTTATGTTTATCACACTATGAATTTCAAGGGAAGAAGAATAATGTGATGAATAGTTGCAAAGAGTGAGATATATAAAATATAAAATGGAGTGTTTTTTTTTTAATTACGCTTGCTGCAAGATCACACAAACTTTTTAATGTATTGAGTTGCATTTAATTAATTACATTCTATTTTTTTTCTTCTTCTTCTTCTCAAACCGAATTTTCAATTCCACTTGAAGCAAATTTTGAGACACAAGAGGCATTGCCTTTACATCTTCAAACTTTTACAATCTTTTAAATTTCAAGGCATATATCTTCATTAATTCATTTCGTTTCGTGGAAACTTGAAATCATACATTAACGATACAATTGCTAATTTAATATTATGGGGAAATATATAGATAAATCTAGTCATATTGTAGAATAATGTTCGGACTACGATACGTTGACAATAATTACGAATATTTTGAAACACGAAGTTTGTTTGCTTTCAATGACGCAGTGATGATAAATCAAGCCTGGACGCCTTTTCTTGGGTTTATCGGGTTTCCTCTTGACAGAAAGTATCGAAAGAAGATATACAGGGTGCGTTGGAATAACACGTGGGGGATGATCCTTCACAAAAAAAAAAAAGAAGAAAAGAATAAGAGAGAAATATAGAACAAAGCTTTTTGACTTGTAGTTTCGTTCTCGAGAGAATCGAATTCGAAGATTTATCAAGCTTGAAGTAATTAATTAATTTTCTTACACACGATGGAAAAGAATGGTTATGTTCTTAAGTTTGGAAAAAATATAAGAAAAATGTAGGATAAGAGATTATGGCTGGCTTCAACTTGGTTGGAACTTTCGTACTTGTATTTATGTGTACTTTGACATTCGAGTGGGTTGAATCTCTTGAAAGTAGTAATCGGGCTCTAAAAGTTCGCTCGAGCGTATTATTATAAGCTTATTAAAGTTATCAACTAAACAGAAAGCCATTAACGATAGTCTGTTAACGTTATGATTACTCCATAATTATTTCTATCCTTTGTCGAAAACAAAACACATAATTGAATAAATATAATTCTGTATGGAAATCAATCCCTCTTATTTGTTGTTGGCATAGAATAAATAAATAAATAAATTTACCAATATAGGTAATACTTTTCCACGTATTTATGTAATTAGATTAGAACTATGTTCCACTTCTTCATTTCATTTAAATGTAATTAGTATTTCATTTGAAATATATATTTATTTTATTTATTAACATATAGTATTTTATTTAAATAGGTAGGTACTTGTTGAAAGTACTTGTAAAAGTTTCAGATGTACTTTCGTTACATCTCGCCCTTTTAAGCATTTATGAGGGATTCGAGAAACATTTGGTTCTTTCACTAGATTATCACTACGAAAAACTAATAGAAAGATTGAACGTTAGTTGTACAAAAAAATATATATATGTATACGAAATATCATAGTTTCAAATTTCAGTGATCACGTGATTCTATATTTTATTTTTCAATTTTTATACAGTACCAAACCTAGCCCAACATTTTATTTATTAATATATTTTAAAATCCATTAAATATACTAATATAATATATATATATATATATATATATATTATATATGTAAATAATACAATGATAATAATATTCCCTTTTTTACTTTTAGATCGATGATTCAATGATTCACAATTGTTATAAATCAAAGACTCCATTAAATTATTATTAATTTTACATTTCCTTAATACATTTAACACGCAGTTGAACGAAAAATGAACGGTCTGCGCCAATGTCATTTAATATTGATTTGATAATTTATTGACATGCATAATCAAGTCCAGAGACTTTAAAAATATAATAAAAATGTTTTGGCGTATGTCCATGTTTCTAAGAACCCTTCAACTACACTGGTCATTGTAAGAAGATGAAGCTGATGGAAAAGAATCGAGACAACCAACATCTGTCATGGATAGCCTAAATTCCAGATGTATAAATGTTACCGGACAATTTTGCGAGCATGTGAAATAAAAACGAAGAAAACTGATTCAAATCTATTTACTTGAACATCGCTCAAAATTTAATTCATTCTTTTACCCAGCAATGTTTAAGGTGAAACAATTAGGTATTAAAATTTATGAAAGAAACTTCTCAATTTTTTTCTTTCTTTTTTTCATAATAAACGATGTGTTCTGACACGCGTTACAGGACCGAAAGAACATTCATGTAAAGTCGCCAATATATAATATCCTCCCCTCGCGAGTGTGCAAATAGTTATTTCACAAAAGTGCAGCGCGCTCTCAAATTTCACACGCGAGCATATCCATAGAACGTTCTTTCTATACAAATCTACTCCATCTTGACTCGCCTTACAGGACCAGCGCGCCTAAAAGTCGGGAAACTCTGGACCAGTGGCCCGGTTCGGGCACACGGTAAAGGGATCTTTTCACAGCAAAGGAACCGGCAGAATGATCAAAGAAGACGCTTTCTCCCTTGTCCCCGTTAATTGAACGGTGCTCGCTCATCCTTGCACGCCTTGTGTCTTCAACTCGAGAGAGTCGTGCCGTGCCGAACAACGATCCAGCGAACGTCCATTAGCGAATATGGGCTTGCGCCGTCACTTTGGAGCGAAGGCTCCAGGACCTTCCTTCGGTTTCCCGAGTGGTCGGGCGCGATGTTGGATTTTAATCGCGGATACTCGCGTCCTTCGATTAAACGAACGCGGCCGTTCGTCGTTGTCGACGTCGAGCAGTCCTTCGATAAATCAGCGTCCAGCGCCGATACCGATCTACCGTTGGTGGCGTTCTCATCGGCTCGGTTACTTCCGAGTGGCCGCGCGTCTCTCCCGCTCGTCTTGCATATTTACAACACGCAAAAAAAAAAATAAAAATAAATAAAAACGCTAACCGATCTAC